TATACACTGGGTAATGTAAAACATACTATAGAGTACTCCTACTCGATATAGAATAAGGGTGTTCGCCAGTGACCCTAATCCAATGGTCCATGCGGTCTTCCCATATGCGATCTCGAGTTCTCGCCAGATCTCTACCGTTACCACGTACATACATGTACGGACTACTGCTCCGTACGGGGCCGTTCCTTACCACATGGATCCAGAACCCTGCAAAGTCGTGCGTGAGGGGCTCATCCGGGAAATGAGATCTCCGCTGAAACTGCCAGACTAAGCAGCTCGGTAGGCTTAGTAGCTTAGCTTTCCCGCTTTAATGGGTTAGCACGAGTCAGTAGAGTTTTGGTGAGGGGAAACGAGGAAATGGGAAAGGGAGATGTGATGGGAGATGTATCTGTATATCTGGATATATATTGTAGGTTGTGTCTGTTTCTCGTTTCCTAATGGGCCAATGTTATATAATCAACATTAGAATCATTCAGGGGGTGAGGCCAACCAAGGAAGATCGAGGAGATGGAGATGGGAGTGGAGAGGGAACAGGGGAACTGGCCAATCATGTAGATTGTTCACAGCTCAGACGGGTAGCTTGTCGGGATATCCATGGCTCACGATCTTGAATTCGGCCTCTGATGAAATCGGATGAACTCAGATGATCGACATAGGAGGGATTGAAGGAAGTGGTGAAGTGGTTGGAATCTCCTAGCTGCTCGCAGGAACTTTGCATATATATGGTTGCACTGCATATGTAGATAATGCTTCACCTACTCTTTTCGATGTCCTGATAGGAGTGAGCATCAATGGTTTCAGAGGGTGGACTTGTGTAAGTACTCACCTCCGGATGGCCAGAATCTCATGGCCTAAGATAACAGGGGGATCCAACAGTGAGATTCCACTCAGAACTCTTATACCAGGGAAGGTACATATGGCGCAGATACTTGGATAACTCCGAGTATCAAAGTTTGAGGTGAAACGAATAGATCAGAAAGATAAAACCTACCGTTACCAACGGTGTTGGATGTATCATTTCCATCTCTTTGATCTAATAATATGATTATCTCACTGACGAAAAGAAAAGAAAAAGAAAAGATGAAACACAGAAATACACACCCTGTAATCCAAATACCGTACGGAATTAAAGTGGAGAGAACCACTTTCGTCCTAGTCTATAACTCCCTCGATTCTTCTTCTCCTATTTGTCCCTCCCCCTAAACCCTCTTCTTTCTTGGGTTCTGTCTTTCAACTGCATAAGTTGTATCCATATGGCGGGTGTGTTCTCGAGTCTTGAGTATTATTGAAGTTTCACCCGGGCTTCTCACACTCTCTAAAACATCTCCCCAACTTTCCTTGGTCTTGGGTAAACCCTCATTTCGAACTGCACTCCAGCAGTGCTTCCCCCCCAATTCATACAGTCCTATATCTCAAGGAATCCCAACCCCGGACTCTACAACTCGACATACTCTTCGACTCGACATACTCACCCGATACATAAATCTACCACAATGGTCCATTCTCTGCGAGATCATGGATCTTTGGTCCGGCCATCCACTCGGGATCGGCCCGTTACACGCGGCGAAGGGGAAAATTCGCTGGTCGTTCCTAGCCGCACATCATCGTTGCACTCGCGCATCACCCAACCTATCCCATCCTCACTTAGTATCAAGCCCGCCCAGCGGACACCGAAAACACTCACTCATGCTTACATGGTCTGTGGTGTCGGGCGCGAACCATCACAATGGGTCAAAGCGCCTGTCCCCGAACAGGGCAAGATTGGCCACATGAAGGGAGCCGTCGGTCAATTCTGGCTGCCGGAGATTCTGGGAAGCAGCCCTCGATTAGAGCAGGACAATGAGATCGCACGAGCCCTACACGCGGCCATGCGAGCATGCTTCCCTCATGACGTGGAGATTTGCACCGGCAAGAGCCAGCCTCACTGTGCACACCACGCCTTTGTATTGCAACAAGACTCTTCTCACACTCTGTACGGTATTGCGCTGCGCGTTTGGTCCCGTGCCGATGAGAAGCGCGCGGAGACTATCCGCGAGCTACGCAAGAAGACGGAGCCGGACTTCTATGATAATCCCGATGAAACCTACTGGATTCCTTACTGCTTGAGCTTCCTCTCCCGGTATCCCCTCTACGATCTGCTAGGTGACTATCTCCGTGGCATGTGGATCCACTGGAACAAGGCCACCAATCTGTTCCACGCCGAGGAGGTCTCCCGCATCCTCAGCTTCCCCGCCCCACGTCTCAATGATTTGGTCCGCATTGATATGAAGGACTATGCCCTCTGCTATCAGTTCCCCTCGTCGCCCACTGGCTTCCAAAACTTTGCCATGTGGCCATTGTTCACTTGTCTGTCGATCCCTAACATTGTCGGCGTGATTGAGGCTGCGGTGTCGCCTACCCGCCGCATCATCTTTGTCAGCCACTATGCGGCCATGCTGACGGTCGCTGCGGAAACCATTCGCTACTGCGTTCGCGTCTATGAGTGGAGTGGTCTGTACGTGCCCGTGGTTCACGCCCGCCATGTCAAGGAGCTGGTCCAGGAGCCCGGTCCCTACATTTTGGGTATCACTGCCGAGTGCCGGACTCTATTCAACGCCCCGTCTGATGCCCTCGTGGTCGACCTCGATCGCAACTTTGTCCTCACCTCCAGCCCGCCTAGTGTGTTGAACCAGGGCCAACGCACCAAGTTTATCAACCGCATGACCCAATCCCTAAATGGTGATGTCTCGCCTTCCGGTGTGCCCCCTCACCTGCGCACTGCCTACGCTGGCGGCAAGCTCATTCCGGCTGGCCAGATCATCGTCATGAGAGGAGAGGTCGAAAGCATTGAAGACCCCCAATGGTGGAACCAGGATGCTGTCATGGGCGTCATGGACCATGTATGCGAGAAGCTGGTACGTTCAATCATCTCTCAATTGTCACTAACCACAAATCAAACTAACAATTTATTTATCAGGGCCGCAACACCGGCATGAAGGCTATCTTTGGTGGCTCCGTCAAGAAACCCCTCATGACCAAGGTTTCCATGCGTCACCTCAACGAAATTGTCCGTGAGCGCAATCAGTACTCTCGGGATGCCATGGAAGCTTGGCAAGACTTCATCAACCTCAAGGGCAGAATGGACACCGAACTCAGCAAGGTTACTAAGCGCAACAACTTCTTGGTCGAAGAGCTCGAGACCTGGAAGCAGCAGTTCCTCAAGTTCCAGGCCTTTGCTGAGCAGCTCACCAAGGAGACTTCGGAGCTCAAGGTCAAGATCGAAACTCACAAGCGCGAGAGCCGTCGCCTCACTGCTCTTATTGATCAACAGAGGGATGATGTGGTTCGCCTCACTCTGCGCTTGTCTGGTACTGAGAAGCAGCGGGACGATGCTCTCGAAGCACTGGTCCTTCAGCAGGAGATTGCCGAAGAGCTCGAGCGTGAGCGCAAGCGCAACCAGAAGGAGATCTCTGCCCTCTCGCACGCTAATTCGACCCTCACCCGCGAACGCGAAGATGCCCAGCGCGTTGTCATCCACCTGCGCAGCCTTATCAATGGTCAGAGCCACCACATGGAGCACATCGTTCGCTCCATTAGTAGCAGGTCGGAGATCGCTGAAATAGTCGAATTAGGCTACGAGGACGCCCCCGAGGAGATCAAGGATAATGTGTCAGTCGCTGAATCGAAGCATTCCGTCAAGTCGGCTAAGGAGGTCAATGGTCGCAGTACTCCGGTAAATGATATGAAGCCCGAGCTAGAGCAGCATTTGCTGAACATCGGCAAGGAACACAAGAGCCTTGCACGTCTCAGCATCACAGATGTCGCAGACCGCTACCTGCGCGATAAGACCGATGCCATCGCAGATATCATCCGCAGCATCAGCGACCAGTGTGCCGCTGCCGTCGAGGGCCTGCACCTGGCCCAGGACGCCGAGGACGAGCAAGAAGCCGAGACCTCTTCCAATCTCCACCAGAACGACCGTCGTGGCTCCGAATATGACAACATGGAGAGCCGCTCCATCCGCGCCCCTAGCGAGATCAGCGATACCGACAACAGCTATCTCCACCCGGACAACCGTCACTCCAGCATCCCCCCGACCCCGGATCTAGTCCACAACCGCTCCAGCACGTCTATGTCCATGATCAGCAACTCGACTTTCCCCGAGCGGTCAAGTGGGCAGTATGGCCCTAGCGATTTCCCGACCCGGATCGTTGAGGATGATGATGAGCACGCTCACGAGACTGAGAACGTTGACGACCAGCTGACTGAGCGCGGCACTCTGTCCAAGCAGAATAGCGAGGATCTCATGCGGCCCACTGCCACACGGGTGATTTAAATTCTCGACCAGCTTTTCAGGTTAGATGACTGAGACGACCTTGTTTTGTTTTTCCCTTCTCTTCTCTGTCAATTCCTTGTTGTCCTTCTGTCTGGCGAGGCCTTCCACCCGGTTTCTTTTACTTCATCTCTGCTGTATCCTGAATACGCACATACGCTTTGGTTGTCTGGCGTATACCTCATTTCTCGTCGTGTCGATTTCTTCATTATATCCACTCGATCATCTACGTGTTTTTCTTGTCCAATAATTTATGGTCATTTTTGCCTTCCTGGGACTTCTTATTTTTTTCCTCTCTTTGTTTTTTCCTTTTTACCCCGTTCTTCCCCGAGGATTGTTTATTCACCACATGTCGTGCCGTCTGGGATGGAACGGCTTGATGTGTTTGATTTGCCCTCATCTCCAGAGAGCCCTCCACTTTGCACCACCATCCGCACTGCCTGCGGATGATATTTCCTTTTCATCTACAATCCTTGATCTGGATTGATCCGATCTACCAGGGTCTATATAGCTCCCTGTCCTCTAAAATGGATTCTGTGAATTTAACTTTTCGAAATTGCCTCAACTTACATCTATTGTAGCCCAGCCACTTCGAGAAGGCTTATCTTATAGAACCACCCGTGGATTCATATGTTAATCATGAACTATATACATCACTCGAATGCAAACCCAATGCCTAGGACCTATTTCAAGCCAACTTCCCCGGCACAAAAGGATGACCAGCACTCAACCCGCCACAAACCGCCCAAGCCTGTCCATTAACATAGCTACTCTCATCACTACCAAGGAACAGCGCGACACGCGCAACCTCATCAGCAACAGCACCCCGCTGCAAAGGGTTCAACTGCCCGACCTTGCGCTCTGTGCCGCGCTCCCGCGCCCGGTCAAACACCGTCTGCGTCATCCCAGTCTCAATCAGTCCGGGACAGATCGCATTAATGCGAATACCCGTTCCAGAGAGCTGATACGAGACCGTCTGCGCGATCGACACAACAGCAGCCTTCGAAGCGGAGTAGTCAGTCGAACCGGCGTTTGAGCGCAGACCTGCTACAGAGGCCGTGCCGATGATCGAGCCGCCTGGGTACGGCTTCGAGGCTGATGTTATCTTCATTGCCGGGGCTGCGTGTTTGGCTGCCAGGAAGACGCTGTTTGTCGCAGTTAGTTAGATTCATATTCGTTTGCATCGGGGAGAATCTCGTTTGCTACCCTTGTGTATCTGGGAAGGGAAGGGAAGGATGTGCATGTAAATGTACGTACCCGAGAGCGTTTACGCGCATCGTGTTTAGGAATCCCGCACCGTCGATCTCGGTGAACAGCTTCGGTTGGCCTATTACGCCGGCGTTCGCGAAGAAGATGTCTAGTCGGCCGTATTTGCTGACTGCTTCGTCGATGACTGCTATCACGGCTTTTTCGTCTGCTGCGTCGAAGGTCCGCACGTGCACGTCTACGTTTGGGTACAGGGTTTCCATTTCCCGTTTGTGCGTTGCTAGGTGCGTGTCGCTGAAGTCGCAGATGTAGACTGCTTTGGCGCCGTTGTTGGCGAATTGGTGCGCGCTGGCGCGGCCGATGCCATTGGGAGAGTTTGCGCCTGGGTTTTTATTGGTATGTTTTTCGAATGGCCTTGGGAGTAAATGTGTGTTACTTACCGGTCACGATTACTACCTTGTCCTTGACGCGACTGTAGATTCGTTAGCTATGTCTGATCTTGCAATACATACAATGCAAGAAGCCGATTGAGCGATAATAGAGCTATAAGCTTTAAGGATACTTACGGTCCTGCTGAATCAGAGGCAACATGGCGGATCTTGGGGATATCCTCAAACGTGCCCTCGGAGGGAATACCTTCAACGAGCTGCTTGCTCAGGGCTTGAAGACGTTGCTTTGCTGTATCAGACATATTTATTAAGCTTTGAAGATCCTAGAAGGCTGACAATAAGAAAAATGAATTGAACGTGCTAGAAGGACCGCTTCAATTGCGGTACCCTCGTAGTTATAACAGCTTAGCAGCTTTCCCCACTATGTCGGTTATGCGGAGAGCCGAGGCTCCAACAGTACAGCAGTGCATAGCAACCAATATGGCAACACGATCACGTGTAAATGGATATAAGCATTGAATCACATGACACTCGTCAGGTCACGTCATGTGCCGTAGGGTATCAAAGCTGTCTTTGTGGGTTTCCAAACAACGCAAATCTGTGCTCTTTGTTTCCTCATGCTTTTGTTGTTCTAAAATAGGGTATCTAGGGTTGAAATGCATACCTGCCCCTGAACATCCGGTCGATCTCCCTTCATTCCATCCGCGGATCACTACAGCAAGGATCGCCAAGCACGCACGGCAAGACCAGCCAAGTATCAAAAGCTACATAAGCTACTTGATTATTTGTCTTGTTAGCCCGGACACCGTTTGCAATTCACCCATCACCGAAAGCTCTAAGAAAAGCCTTCATGAAGCCATTAATCCACGATTCTACCGTTCACGCCATTGCCCGGTTGTTGAGTCATGGCGGATTCCGACACCCACTCCCAGCGGCGTTCATCGTCCCAAGCGTCAAGCGCCTCGAGCAGAAGTAGAAATGCTAAGATAGCTCGTGCTAAAATGCAAAAGCGCCATTCGGGCTCCTCCCACACAACGACCGATTTGACCTCGTTCCCCTCGCTCTCACCACCAGACAAATCTCCAATCCTCGCCCGTGGCCTTTCGAATACCTTGTTCTCCGACGAAAACAGAGCGGAATCAAATGGAGACGTGACTAACCGTGGGCGGAAGGCTACGCTAGAAAATCTGATGACCGGGCTCAAATCAGGCCGATCTGCCCTCTTCGCCGATTCCGTCTCGACACACGATATCCCAGGCGCCCTGCATTTGGCCGATGATGCGCATATCGAGCGGCTGGTTGCTGGAACAGGCGCCGTGAAGATGGTGAGGCAGTTCGCTCGCGATCTGGCTCAACGGGATGCTGAGATCTCGGCCCTCCGCCAACGCGCCGATGCGAGGGAGCGAGAGTTGAAGAGAATGCTCCGAGACGTGTCTGTGTCCAACCAAGATATTGAACGTCGTCTCTATCAGTTGGAGAATCCGCCCGGTGATCGTGTCTCGGACGCAGAAAGTACTCATAGCAGTGATCATGCTGGCCAAGCCTATTCCAGCCTGAATGGACTGATGTCTCAAGCTATGGAAGACACCGTTGGCTCTCGGCCTCATGGTGACTCGGCAGAAGCCCAGGCCACGATTCGCGCCCAGCGATCAGACAACGATCGAGGCAGCGGAGTCACTGACAGTGGGAAGCGTCAAAGCTCGATTCGGGGCTGGCAGGAGTACCTTTTTGGCTCGACCAATACTAGCCGGAAAACCAGTCGCGCCAGTAGCGTTATGAGTGATGTTGGTGAAGTTGGAGAAGAAGAGACTGAGCGTCTTCGGGTGCCCAGCAATCCTGCAATGCGACGCAAAGCGCTTGATGAGCAGCTATTTCAACCTCCAGACGGCCCGGCACGAAACGGACCGGCGAAGCGCATTGCTAGCACGTCTGTAAATGGCGACGATGTAAGCATTCATTCTCGCAAATCTTCACGATCTCTCGGCTCTTGGACTGTTAAGTTATTTGCTGGCAATACCCAGTCGAGCAAAGATGCAAGTGATACTGAGTCTATCCACAATAAACCTCAACTCAGAAGGCCCGACAGAGACAAAAGTACTTCGTCTACATTTTCTGCCAATTCTAAGGGCTCAATGTCGGCAGTGGCCGCACTGAAGAGGATTAACAGCAATGTCAGTATGGCTACTACTGGACGATCTGCCAGTGGATCGAGCGTCCAGAGCAAAATGAACACTCCTGCATTGCGACGGAATGCAGCTGGCAGCGTGTCTCAGGGCACGACGTCGGAGACTACGGATAGAGCCTCCACAAATCTTGGACCCGTCGAGATGGACGCCATTCTGCCCATGGAGTCGAAGCCTCCGACGCTCACGCCTATTTACAACAATTCCCAATCGGGTGAGTTTCTCACCGACCGGTTCGGTTTCATCTATGATCAACATAGGAAGAAGCGCCAGAGAGAAGCGAATACTATCAAGAGCGGCAATCGCAGTTTGAGTATAACCGAAACTCTCGGTCATCTTCGAACTGATACGTCAGATCATGAGGATGATCCCGAGATCACCAAACTTCGGCAGGACGCTTCTGAGGCCTCGCGTTCTCTGCCTGATTCACCAGATGACCCTGAAAGCGGAGGTATTGCCATCCGTCGCTGGCAGGACTATCTGAAGATGCCGTCCCGTCCCACAGAGCTATTGTCCGACACGCCCTGCGCAGGTACGATTGTCTCCTTGACCACTGCAGGAGAGAGTCGCTCTCATAGCTCGTCTGTTTCCTATGACAAAGACGGGGCGTTGGCCGTCGGGTCTAGCGCACAACCATCGGCGTCTACATCGGCTATCACGGCCGACAGCCCCGAATTCGCTGGCCTGTCATCGGATCAGCTCAAAGACACAGCCGCCAGATTTACTGTTGCAGAGATGGAACCTGTAAAACTGTTGTTGGAACAGTTGACTGATCTCCACGATACACTGCAACGTGATCGAACCGTGAGATGGAACGAGTTCCTTCGCAAAGTGCGCGCTGAACGCCGAAAAGAGGGCGAAGCAGCAGCCGCTGCCGCAACTTCCGATCGATCTCTTGCTGCCGTTGACACGCCAGAAGTCTCGCTCGCCGACGGCGAAGTTGTAGGCATCGCAAATCTGGGTAACAAAGGCAAGGTTGGCCGAGCGAAGTGGCGAGAATTCCGGCTGCTCGTACTCGGCGGCATCCCGGTTGCTCTTCGCGCCAAAATTTGGTCGGAATGCAGCGGGGCTTCGGCAATGCGAATTCCTGGCTACTATGATGACCTTGTGCATGGCGTTGGCGGATCGGACCCTGACCCTTCCGTCGTCGCACAAATTGACATGGATATACGCCGCACTCTTACCGATAATGTCTTCTTCCGCAAAGGGCCTGGTGTCGGCAAGTTGAAAGAGGTTCTGCTTGCATACTCGCGCCGTAACCCAGAAGTAGGCTACTGTCAGGGCATGAACCTAATCGCAGGGTCTTTGCTGCTCATCATGCCGACTGCCGAGGATGCGTTTTGGATTCTGACCTCGATGATTGAGATCATTTTGCCCCACCACTACTACGACCATGGCTTGCTTGCCTCCCGTGCCGATCAGGTAGTCTTGCGCCAGTACATCTCAGAACTACTTCCCAGACTCTCTGCCCACTTGGAGGAACTGGGCATTGAACTAGAGGCACTCACCTTCCAATGGTTCCTCTCTGTCTTCACAGACTGTCTCTCCGCGGAGGCGCTGTATCGCGTATGGGACGTGGTTCTATGTCTCAATGTGACCAGCACAATCAACGGCTCCGGGCCTATTGCCTCTGGTACTAAGGAGAGCAATGACAAGAGTGCCAAGGTTGCCGAAAGTGGTGCCTCTGGCAGCGGAGGCGGAAGCACATTCCTTTTCCAAGTTGCTCTTGCACTGCTCAAGCTCAACGAGCCGCAGTTGTTAACAACCTGCTCGACGCCGGCGGCACTCTACACATACATCAACCACCAAATGACTAACCACGCGATCAGTATCGACGGCCTGATTCAAGCTAGCGAAGCACTGCGCAATGTCGTCCGCCGCGAAGATGTCGTCGCACGTCGTGCTGTTGCCCTGCAAGAAATGCGCGAATTAAGCAGCGGCGCAAGCACCTAGACACTTGCCTGATGCGGAATTTCCCGTCATGGCCTTTCATTCATTTGCCCCTGCATTTTCGCGTAACGCCGATACCACCTGAGCATAAGGCAAGGAGTTTTGGCTTTTCTGTCCTTTTTTGTTCTCATTGCCTGGCGCTATTTCCCTCATTATTTCTCGGTTTTGTGAAAGCACTTGTTGACATAGCCCGCGATGTTCTTGTTGCCTGTCTCATACACCATCAACCCAGCATTCGAGATACCCCTGGATTTTACACTTGGGCGGCAGCACCTTTAGACCTGTTTGAATGAAATCGAAGTCTTTTTCAATCGGCATTGTTCTTGTGCATTATGAATCTTTCTGCAACCCTGAAGTGTCTAACATGGCTTACTCTAGGGCTGTTGATTTCTCTTACAAGTTCCGATCCTAAGCGGAATCGAAATCATACAAGGGACAAGCTTATTGCTTCGTATCAAACGACAAATGCTAATTTACTTGCTATGTTTTGAATCATTTCTTCCATTTTCGCAAAGAAACTAACCTCCATGTGAAAACAGCCGATACTGCAGTTAAACGACAAACCCAAGCACCACGAAGGGAAGCATTGACCAAATCATTCCAACTAATCCAACCGAAAATCATCAAAGCTCTGCTCAAATGGCCACTCAGTTAGCCTGTCTCAGGTCTGGGCTTCCTCGTAGTCCCCTCGAAGTCAGTCAATGCCGGTTCATCGGCCCTCTCCATATACCGAAGGATCTCCAACTGGTGAAGCTTGTATTCAAAGGTCTGTGCATCGGATACACTTCTGCAGAGCTCTCCGTCAGTGCTGATAGGAGCTGTGATTGGATACGGTGCTGTTGTCATGAACCTGGCCTTCAACTGCGGCTTGAAGGTCTCTCTGGCTACTTTTATTCTCCGACCGTCTTCCGCGCCGCTGTAGGCGTCGTATTTGATGTTGGCTTGGTCCATGAGACCTATGTACTGATATCAGTATTGACTATCTAGCGTTTCAGGATTCTGACAAACGTACGCTCCATATGCTTGATGTAAAGGCACATTCTCTGATATGTCCGTTGCAGCTCGCGCTTCTTGGTGGCTGCTCTGACATCAATGTCCAGCATCCAGGCAATCATTGCGCAAGATAGTCCTACCAATATCTGTCAGCTTATTGTCTTTGAGTGAAGCCGGGTTTCATGTTAACATACCGTCTTTGCTGTAGCCATATTGTTGTTCACCCTGATATGGCGCTGGAACCTTTTCCATGCGATTCACGAAATCCGGAGGAATATTTTCAGCGGCCATTTCAATCAAAGACACTAGGAAGAAGGGTTGGAAGATATCGAACGAGTGTAAAGAAGAGAGAATTCGTTCCCTTTTTTCTATCTTGCTTCAATTTCTCTTCTGCGGAGGCGGCCCTTCTCTTTGTTCTTCCTTGGTCTATCTCAACAGCCAGTCTGATAGGAATAATTTTCTTTGTCGTCACATATTTCCAAGGCTCTAGAAAGTTAAATAGCTGGGCGTTGCAGTGAAAGCCTAAATCGGGAGAATATCCTGTAGCCACATTCTTTGTTCTCGAAATAGATCTTGTATGCTTCAACTTGTACGCTTTGTTCAAAATTCAAAGCCTGCTTCCTCTGAAAGGTAGACTTGACCAGATAATTCAAAGAGTCAATGACTCTATCTGTTGCCGCACTAGCATCTATATAACACCTTTCTCTCTTGTCCATCCCCTTTGATAACACACATCTTTCTCTCGTGTCTTTGACCTATCATCTCGACAAAATGAATTACGAGCGCATGTCAGCCGAAATCCCGACTCTCTACCGGCTATCCAGGGAGTTCAGAGGTACATAGTCATATCTCTCTATTTATTTTCCTTGAACCCTCCAGCCCACGAGAACTAACAACTAACAAATCATCAGAAGCCGACCTTCTCAACGGTCTTCTGGGCTGGATCCGCAACGAGGCCTTTGGAAAAATAGCAGAAGCCTGTGCTCTCTGGGGTGCAATCGTCCAAGCCAATAAACACCTTGCCAAAGTCGATCGTGAGACATGTTATGCGCTCTACCTTGTTGATCATCGTTGCTGATCAGGTTACTAATTTAGGTACGCTGCACGCTCGTAGCATTGAACATGAGCACTTCAATCTCAAAGAAGTTCTGAATTCCGAGTTGAAGCAGGCTAAGGAAATGATGGATGGCATTCCTGGTGGTAGACGTGCGACTACGGTCACTACCGAGGAGGATTTCTCTCTTGCTATTAAGCGGTTGAAGTTTCTACGTGAATACAAGTAGTCTGCTTGGTTTCTGGACTCGAAGGAGGATGTAATTTCTGGCATTGATATCTCCTATGTACTCTATATTTCAATGAATAAGGCTGTTGTTGTTCGATATGTAAGGTCGGGTACCGGTGGAAACCCATTTCCCTCCCGGTACCAGTCAAGAAGCGGACAGGAATCGGATACAGATTTATACCATTAGTATGTTGTATACTCCGAACTTGGGTCTGTAGCCCTAAGGAGGGCCAGAGGAGGGCCAGAGTCCTGCAAGGGGGTTGGTGGAGGCGGTGAACACACCAGCCCTTTGATGAAAGGTCAAAGGCCGGTGAGCACGCTGGGCCCGGGCACGCTTTTGACTTGGTTCAACGAGTGTCGAAGTCGCGAATATCGGAGACGGTGTGAAAGGTCGAATCGGAAAGAACGGAGGTAGTCATATCTTCTTTCCTCAGCTCGGACTCTGATCCACCCAGAATTGACTGTTATCTAACACCGTGGTCAGATCCAGCGAGTCCATCGTCGGACGCAGTCCCAAATCCATGACATCCCGTGCAACGGCCTTGATCTGCCGCATAATCGACTGGGAAATGGCCCAGGTGCGAGCCAATGACTTGAAGACACCGATCGTCAACGCCAGACGGTCGCGGCTGGGGTCTGGCATTTGACCGGCTTTGACAGAGCAGGTGGCCAGTTGGACAATGGAGCTCAGAGTAAGCGCACAGATGAAGAATGGGGTGTGCTTGACAACGGGCAGACGGAAGGCCGCAAGGCGGGACAACTCTCGGGCGGCCTTCGCGGCCTTCATGGCGTGCTCGTTGTGCGAGAACGCAGGGACATTGACCGGGCCATGGTGGCCACAGATTACTTCCGCGGCAACGGCGGGGGACGAAAGAAGATCAGAGCGCGGGAAGTTGAGGTAGATGGCTGCGCCGTTTAACATCATGGTTGCCTGGAACATGATCTCATCCACGCTTCCATCGGGTCGCAAGAGCTCTAGCTTGGACTCTGGCAAGTGATGGCTCCAACTACCAATACGGGCATCAAGGGCTTCTACATGGTCCTGCTGGCCTTCGGTCATATCCTGCATCGCCACCACGCGACCGAGAATCCGTATGGCTTCAATACGATAACAGTATGAAGAAAAGTCACGTTCTTCTTCCGCGAACACGCGCGCGTCAAACTGTGCAATAGTCGGAGACGGTGGCGGTGGTAGGGCGTCATGGTAGATCCGCTCCTCGCAAGGAAGTGGGACCTCGAGCGGTACTTGGTTGGTCCGGTACTCGCGCTGCACGCCAAGGGCAGTCATGAGACCCTCGATTACGAAGAGCTCCCACCAGGTGCGCCGCAGAGACTCGGCGCGGATTGGATCCCCATTGCTTACAACGATGGCAAACGTCGCTTGATGCATGCCAATCTCAAAGGCTGTATCTACTGCAGCGGCTAGGCAAACGCCGGCCTCGGCGCGCTCATTGTCTGAGTGAAGCACAATCGCCAGAAGAAGCAGCGCCTGCACCTTCTCCACCGACACATTTTGTTCCTGGACCATTGCGACAACCATATGCCGGTACGTGTCACTCGAGGCGGCCGGGGTGAAGTGTGCACCGATGAACTTCATCACCTGCTCCAGATATACGGGGAACATGGAGCGATATAGGAGCCGGTGGGGCGGCAGGATTGGATGAGCGGCGTGGAAATAATTATAGTAGATATCGAGCAGGTAGCCATCCCCGCCGACAGCAGAGGAAGAATCCGGTGTCAGCGGTCCGCTGGTTGGGCGAGCGGATGGAACCATTGGCGTCGAGAAACCGTGCAGTCCAGGACTAGTCGATTCGGAGGAGGGCAACGGTAAGGTCGGCGCATAAGTGAAGCCAGCCTGCGAGGCCCAATCTACGGGGACATCGAGCATGCCTACCGGGTTGGGATCCATGCGCAAATAATCCGGCGAGTTAGCGCGGCGCTTTTTCGACGGGCCCTTGTAGCCTCTCCGAGACTTGGTATATTCGCAATGGGATCGGGCCAGTTCACATCGACTGCAGACGGGAGTCCTGCCATCGCATTTGAGGTGTTTGTGACGACATTGAAGACAGGCCAGTAATGCGGGACCCGATTTGGACCCAGTAGGAGCCTGCAATTCGGTCATCGTGAATTAACGACGCATATAGGAAATGTCTCAAGCGAAGTAGAATTGACTGGCACCGATGGAATAGAGGGGAAGAGAAGAGGGGGAGATTGAAGAAGTTCGAATGTTCTCATGTTCCCGGGGAGTGGTAATTTCGCCATACGCTAGGGGGCAGGCCATTCTCTCTCTCCTAGGAAGAGCGCGTGTATATTCCTAGAGAGGTTCTACAAGGATATTCCCTACAGAGGAAGAGAAGTACCTATTGTAATAAAAAGACAAAAGTACTAAAAAATATAAGCGTTTTACTATGGAGGAAATACATTACACCGTAATGCGTATACCTCCTTACATTACCATAGCTCTCTCTTTCACCTACATCCGACCTTGTCAACTACATACTCCCATCTCCCTCTGCTTAACTCTCCTCTCTTCGTGTCTTCTCCTCGTCCTTTCAATCCTCTCAATTCATCAAAGAGAGCAAATCCCAATTCCTGCTTTTGCGACCACCACAATCACACACACTGTGTAGCGTCACTTGAACTACTAGCCGACGTGGCTTCTCCGATTATATCGCCCATCTCTTAACGCTTTGTCGCCCGACTGTCGTTCTGTCTCTTGATTCCACCTGCGTCCTCTGTAACATCCTTTCACAATGATCTCCGACGACGACCTCTACCGCCTCGCCATCTTCCTTGGCTCCTGCGCCATGATGATGATTGTCCTATACCACTTCCTCGATGTCAATTCCAGTGAGGAGGAACCAGAGTCTGCCGAATCAGCAAGCCAGATTAAGGCTGAGGATACTGTGCCAGTGGTTTCCACGGACAGGGTGTCGGCTTCAGGGAAGGGGAATTGAATCCGATTTACGACTCGGGGAGAGAACCAAGATACCAGTGCCTACATCGTTTGATTTTACTTTTACCAGCGGGTCAGGCACAAGCCAATTGTACACGACAGTCCAATCAATTGGAGAGAAAGGCAGTCTTTGCAAATCTCATGGCTTTATTCATTACTTCCATTCGAGTAATTTGGAATGCGTGGGTCCCTATGAAATTCACGGTCTAGATCTAGATAAAGCAGAAGCTCTTTAAGGTGTCATCTAGGTGCAAATATTTCAAGCCCTGTTATAGCAAGGTAGCATATTATTATATGCTTTCAACTTTCAATGCCAATTCACATGCAAGCCAGTCGCTATGCAATGAACCGAGGAAAAAGGGAAAACAAAGGTATCACAAAAGCCGATCGGATGCATCAATCATCCGCAATAAATGCCATCTCCCCACAGTGTACATTATTCTGCCGCGCCGGTGTCGACAGACGACGGTCACTCCAGTCCATCTCAGGCCCAATCTGCTGTTTCCAGTGTCGGCCAGCTTCGAGCAGGGCTTGCGCCTTGGTCTTAATCGTCGATTTCCCATGGACCTTGCTAAAGGCCTCGACTGCGATCTGTTCCACTGGCAAGATCATGGTCCCTTTGCGGGCACTCCGGTCACCCATAACTGAAGGGTGATTCGATTGAATTTCCGCTAGAGAATTTAGCCGATTAGACATTTTCTTCAGATCAAAAAAATCGTGTGTGGATCAGCCCCATGGAGGAGCATCAAGCGCAAGCAAGTTGTGATTCTCACCAGTTACTGGTACTTTTGGTCCATCTCCAAGCGCCCAAGCCATTTTGGAAATGTGCTCGCTCGACAAATGCCTAAACATATCGGCTGCAGCCATTGGTGTCTTATTGTCACAGTCTTCCCATTTGCACACAAGAGAGTGTGGGATGTGAACTTTCACAATGTGGGCCCGGACTGAGTCAAGGTTGTGAAGTTCTGCAATGCATTCCTCCCACTTGCATGGGAATATTTGATAATGCACGGGCTGTTCACGGGGGATAGCAACTTCAACATTGTTCGCCACGCTCCTGGGAGGTCGCCCTGGTCTTCTCTTCGGTGCCATCTTGGGTGATAGAGGGATAACAACTTGTGGCTGCGAAAGACGCCTTGCCTCTGGGGATTTGACAGTCCGATTAGAGTCTGACTGGCTCTTGACAGTCTGCCCTTGAGGTGTAGGCTGCGTTATAGATTGGGGGGTCGCTTGTTTTCTGGCCGGTGGGGATTTTGGTGGAGCTGCACTCTTTGTGGTCAAGGGTGGTCGCTGTTGTGGTGGTAGCTGCGGTTGCGGCGGCGGGGATTTTGGTGGAGCTGCACTCTTTGTGGTCGAGAGTGGTCGCTGTTGTGGTGGTGGTTGCGGTTGCGGTTGCGGCGACGGGGGGTTGGGAATGGGACGGATTTGCGAGACGAGAAATTCGGCGACGCAGGCACGGGGTCAATTCTCGGAAGTCCAGAAGGGAAGTTGGAAGAAAATTTATGTGAAGAATGATTCGTCGGAGCTTGGAAAGACAAAGTACCCCAACCCCCAGGAGCGCGCGCGTCGATACTTTCCGGCGTTGCGACTTGACGGTTTGGCGGTGTGTCACGCGACGGCAGCGATGCGTGGTCACGTGCAATCACGTGATTTGATGTAGCACGCGGGAGTAATTGCTGATCTGCTTGCAGCGGTTGAGGATGAGGTGGTCGAAGAGGTGGCATTTGCGGTGGTTGAGGATGAGGAAGTGGTCGAGAATGAGTAGGAAGTGGTCGGGAATGAGTGGGAAGTGGTTGAGAATCAGTGGGAAGTGGTGGGGAATGAGGAGGTGGTAGAGGTGGCATTTGGAGTGCAGAGACCGGAGGCATGCGACCGACTTGAGGCTTGACGTCCACCAGGTCCCAACGAATCGTCGCCAGGTCTGCGATTATGTCGGCTTTGGTAAGATGAAGGCGTAGCGCTTCAAGACGATGATTTAGAGGCTTTTCCGTCGGGTGCTTTCCTGCAGAAACCAGTATATCCCGCGCGATAGTGGCGGGATTATAGGATTGCTTTCGCAGTAAATCGCTCTGTCTTATCGGCTGGACTACGTGGTCACGATTCTTGTCAAGGCCTCGAGGCCGAGCATGTACCATAGGAACTTGGGTCCCTGGTACCGAGCTACCTGCAGATGGGTCGTTTCGGGGAGTCATTGTTTGACTTCCACCATTGTCCAACCGTCGCATCTTCGCGGGTGGTATAGAACCATGAGAATGATCTTGGGATGGAGCCCACCGTTTTTGCTGATGGGGCGGTGGTATCGGCAGTGGGTGACCCCGCGACTGCGTATTCCCAGCAGTAGGCTGCTGTGCCACGGTCGAGTCAGAAAATGTACCTCGTCGAGGACCTGAAGTATACGAAGAGTTGCGCCCCGTATGAGAGGCCACAGGGGGAGTGAATGACACAGAGGCTGGGGATACCACTGGCGTGCTCTGTTCGTTTTGTTGGGAGATCGGAGGCTGCTGGTTTGTCTGGTTTGATGCCTGTGTATGGGCAGAAGAGACAAAAGAAACAGAAGGACTGCGGGTTGAGACAGGCTGGAATGTTGCGGGGCTGCGAACCCTATCAGGCGCTGTTGGTACGGCTGATTGCACATGATCTTGATTGCGAAATGGGGGTAAAGGCGAAATTGGGTTTGACCTCGCGGAATTTGTAGACGGACCCTGTGCTGGCAGATTGGAAGCCTCCCGAGTGCTCGTGGCTGGTGTGATCGAATGGCGAGATTCAATCGTGCTGCGTGCCGCTGAGGTTTTGAATCCCTTCGGTGAGACCAAAGCGGTGTCGACCTCAGCACCCATCGAGTAGGAGCTTCGCGGCGCATTCTGGTGAGATGATCCTTGAGCATTCTGGGGGATCGTGGAATGGCTTTCATATGGACTCTGCGATTCTCGAGGCCTTGTTACCGGTACATGTGTCCTTTGAGCTGGGGGCCCTGGCCAAGGTCTTTGAGCTGCAGCTAAAATATATACTTGTTGGGTGTCCTGGGCAGGGGTGGTAGAGTAGCTCTGATACGGTCTTTTAGGTGATTGGGACCGTGCCACAGGTGTATGTGTCCTTTGAACTGGAGGGATGTCCGTAGTGGAATGAGGTGATCGCTGAGTATTGTGGGGTGGAATTGTAGAGTGGGTGTAAGAAGGACTTTGCGATGCGGACGTTCTTTGAACTTGTGCTGCCATTCCTTGTGTCATGTACCGCTGCATCGACATCTGGGAATTCTGATTTGGGGTTGCCGAGTAGCCCTGATACGGGCTTCGTGATGTGGACACAGCCTGTGCCATGGGTTAGCTCGTTCTCTGTGTAGAGGCTGTCGATCTTGTAGTGTCGCGGACCCTATGGGCGCTTTGATGGGCCTCTGAGGAGCTTACTCTGGAGTTAGAAGGTCTCTGCGGGGGCCCGACAGGACTTTGGCCGCGGCGATATGCATCCTGACGTGCCAGAGCATCCAAGTCTTGTTGGGACAGAGAGAAGGGATTTGGCCGTTGAGTTATATTGCGAGAGCGATCTGTTTGGTATTCAGAGGGGCCATAAGGAGCATTTTTGGATTGAATATTGCTATTTCGTTGGTGTTCATTTCCTCCATACTGTTCACCCGAGGCTTGCGAGTACGCCTGAGAGGGATTCGAGGCATGATTAGGATAGGTTGACCTCATTAACATATATGTCTTCTGTGCCTGCTGGTGCATAACGGCCGCTTTAGCCACCTCCTCCGCATCGTGAAATGCCGGATGTGTTTCATGAGTCTCATTGTCAGAACTGGGGTCGTGGCCGGTTTGAGTATCGGCTGGAAGAAAATGCTGGAGCCAATCATATCCGTCCATGCCTCCGTGAACCATTTCAAATTGTACCGAGGCTGCCTAGCAGCTATAATCGCATGGCTGGGATGTTGTCGGACCGAGCAAAGAGAAGGCTTGATTGGAATCCGTTGCGCATGGAGGGTTGGATCGTGGCCGGACAGGGGAAAGGCGGGTATAACAGATAGACTCAAAAAGAATAACAAACGCAAAATGAGAAACTGAAGAATCAAGGAAGGAAACTTCCCACTGTGCTGAAAAAGCGCGGCCAAAGAGCTCTGGCGCAGATGTTGTCGAGTTACATTGAGAAGCGCGTCGGAGGTGGATCCTGCCATCAGCCAATCGTATCACGGGTCTTTTGGGCCTGAGGGGTCAGGTGTCTAGTCGCAAGCCCTGAGAGGGCTTAGCGGGAAATTAGTAAGCACACAATCCCGGGGCTCCAACTTGGAATATTCGGCTACACCAGAAAAGATCCTCTCTTCGACCCAACGCCAACGACACCCGTTCATTTCCCACTCACGACCTTTAAGATGGCTGTCCGAACCCACGGTGCGTACTCTCTCGCATCTCGCCTTGCGCCGATTTGATTTACCACTGCCCGAAACCCCTATCAATACGAATTTTCGCCAATCTTCAACTTTCAATACTGATGGTGTCTCCAGGTATCGCCTCTTCGCGGAGCAAGTCTCGCAAGGCACACTTCCAGGCTCCCTCCAGCGAGCGCCGTGTCATCCTCAGCGCCCCCGTCTCCAAGGAACTCAAGGAGAAGTACGGAGTATGTACCACATGAACCTCCAAATCGAATCTGGGTCTGTTCGGGTCGAGTTTTTGGAATTGGAAACTACGGACGATACAGGCGCCAGCTTGGTACAATACGCGACGATTCTAACCAGTGTTCTGTGATAGATCCGCTCCATTCCCATCCGCAAGGACGACGAAGTCGGTGAGTTTCATTGATATAATCTGGGAATAATCTCGAGATCTCGAAACTAACTATTATATGCAGTTGTTGCCAGAGGTTCGCAGAAGGGACGTGAGGGAAAGATCACCAACGTCTACCGTCTCAAGTTCTCCATCTTCGTCGAGAAGGTACGATTCGAATTTACATCACAGTTATTGCGGTAGATACTTACTGCGGTTTTAGATCGTTCGCGACAAGAGCAACGGCCAGAGCGTTCCCATTCCCCTCCACCCCTCCAAGGTTGTCATCACCAAGCTGCACCTCGACAAGGACCGTGAGCAGATCATTGAGCGCATCGCCAAGGGTCGTGAGGCTGTCAAAAGCAAGTCGACTTAAGGGATTTCTTACGTGTGGGGTATAGGTTCATGTTGCAATGGCGGTTGACGGCGCGGGTTCACTTGAAGGACTCTGAGAAACGGAGTTTCCAGCCTGCTATGATCAGGGTAAAGTTTCTGAAACCAGGTGCATTGCGATGAATGAAAAATGAACAAAAAATTTCCTTTTTCTTCTATCCGGAGTCGGTGCTCGCAAGGCAATTCACTTTGCGCAGCCGGCGTTCTTCTTCCTTCGTCTCCCGCGCACATAGGAACCTCCGTCGAATGCTACAGCTCAATCTTCAGGTCATTACGTTCCTTGTCCAGTTTGCAGCTCGTCCGTTCTAGCATGCTTTTCCTTGCTCGATTTTGTAGAGACCTGTCTCCACTCGCTTCCATCTCTGTTCCTCTCTATTGGAAACGAGAGGTATCGCCTGATATATCTCCTCGTCAATCCCGTCCTTTTAGAACGGATCCCATGGTTGAAGAGGTAAACACTTGGCGTAAACTATTCACAGGGCTACTGGGAAGCTGGTAGCTTCTGTCTCACCTGCAGACTCACTCTGATGCCTTCGGGCCAGGACGAAGTGGGTTTGAAGGTGAGGTACATATCCTACTCCAAGTTGGGTTATATGCTGTAAACTGTAGGAATCGTATCTTCGGTGCGGGGGATAATGGAGATAGTGGATATTTTCAATCAATCAATTGATTTACTTGTCTCAATGTTTCCTCTTCAATTTTCTAACATTTGCCTTCGTCATTTATCATTTGATACGTATGTACCTGTGGATAGGAACCCCGCATGGATGGTATGATGCTGGCTGTGTATCGTCAAGAGCGGCAGATTGCAGTGGCTATGGAGAAAGAAAACGACCATTTTTGAGTGCGTATGGTTAGACAATAAAGCTCCTAGTAGTGGGCGCACCGAAATTTTAACACTCGATGAAAATTTTGTTTATTTGACTTATGGATACATATCGGGAGCCAGATCCGATGTATATATTGTCGCCATGCTCAGTAGAATCAGTGCCAAAACCCAACCAGACAACTAATCAGCCCATGAGATCTTCATATATTGCATAAACGGTCACTTCTATACATACAAACAAACAAGAAATTCATCATTTACAACAGCCCAAGCCTAGACAAGAGGAGACATACCAAACCTACTAGCTAGACACACAAGTCACCACCACTCAAGTCCTGTAAAAAATATATGCAAACTTCAATATCATAATGAGTACAAATCAGATAGCTGTAATATACAAGCTCGAGTAGGAAAATAGTCCAAGCAGTAAAAACGGAGCAAACTCAGAAAAAGCAGAAAAGCAGATGACCCTCGCATCGTGGTCTCATGAGAAAGTCGGAAACCGAAGCAACCTAGAGACTGGATATTTGAAAAAAGCACGCTCGCTGAAATGTTCGACTAGCCACCCTAGAATGCGCTAGTGTCCAACACACTTCCCCCATGCAGGTAGTCCACACCCCATACCAATGAACAGATATAGCAAGAAGATAATGACAACCACAATCATAATCATCAACTTGGTATTCTTCCACCACATCCGCCTCCGCAGTCCCCGGCTACGAATCCGGAAGTCATGCGCACTTCCGCCAAGCCGATCCGTCTTGTCAACCAGCAGATCAATGCGCTCGCCGCGCTCCAGGACCCGCTCGATATTCTCGGTCATAATATCGCGGACGCTATCGATTTCGCGCCGGGCGGACGCGAGGGAGTCTGCTGGCGGGGCGGTGTTGTAGGATTGTAGGAGAGAGCGCAGTTCATTGTTGAAGGCAGCGCAGCCGTAGGCGGGCAGTGTGGCGAACTCGGTTGTGGATGGATCGTAGGTGGTTAAGAACTTGCGCTTCATTTCTAGCAGGTAGGCGAATGGGATGCGGCGGCCTTGCTCTGCCGATGCAACTACCAGGAAGCTCAGGGGAGCGTGGGAGTTGGGCTCCGCAATGTTGCCATCGCCGGATTGGTTGCCTGTTGGCGAGTCGGCAATGTAATGGACGAAAAGTCGTTCATGGGTGAAGGTGAGCTTTTGTGGCTTGTCGTGCGTGATCTTTGGGAGGATGATTGAGGCTAGTGATGAGGCGGCACTCGTTGAACTACCCGGCGAGGAGTGCTCAGCCAGAATGGTAGTGCGATAGGCGATGCATGAGCTGAAGTTGATTACAGTGTTAGTCTGGAAATATTTTCTTTGACTGCTCAAATGACAGACAGCAAGACTTACTAGAGCAAAGAGCTCGTCTTGGAGGATGAGGCCATAGTGATATGATGTCAGTGCCGTGACCTCAAATATATAGGGCCCGTAGTAGAAAGAGGAGTAATTCGAAGCGATGGAAGAGCTACAGTTTTCAAGCGCTTGTGATACTCAGATATAGGACCTAAATCGTTTGCAAGGTCCGGAGGCCGCCTGCCTACGTGCCCAGGTGCGCAAAGACGCTGAGTCAGCGGCAGCGGACCACCGGTTACAGCTCTGGAGTTGTAACTTGTTGGTGTCTTTTATATGGGATGAGATTCTTAGATGTCAGGCAGAGTTGTTCATCTAATACATCTAGGCTTGCAACTGATAGTCACAACCGAAGTGTTTTGTATACAATCTTCTATTGGTCTTATTGCAGTAGAATTCCAAGTAAAGAGGATCTTCACTTCCTCATGTTCAAACTCATCTTCTGTTAGTGATGTATAAGCTCTGAAGGTGGCTATGGATAATACACACGGGACGAGAACAAGACTTAAAACACGTGGGATCATTCGCTCTTGTGGCAGATGAGGTGATTGTAAGCTGAACACTTCGTACTCCTACAGTTGCTCTATTTGGTATACCACTAGTACCTACATGTACGGAGTACGGAGTACCTATATCGATCATCTATCATCTCATCTATAGTAGATATATATAGAGTACACCATATACTATCTCGTGCATTACCGGGTACTTATTTGCTTTATATCTTCAATGCTTTCTACGCACGTATCACTGATACAAGAATAGCCCTAAAGAATTGATGTATAATTACATACAAGGGACACAGTTCCATGTAAATGCAAATATCTAAGCCTTGCTAATGTTCCACACTGACTAGTACACTAAGATTTTGGTAAAAGTAAAGAAGAAGAAGAAGAAGAAGAAGAGAGAGCTGTCTAAGATGACCTCGGGAAGATCCGAAGTGGCGGACACCATTAATCACCATGTGGTCATGGCATTGTCATTATCCTTTTTCGATATATATCCAGCGCGGATTTGATTCTCCTGTTAAGCAATTGAATCTCCCGAAACAACATTACTATCCAAAACAACCTCATTTATAACCTCAATCATGACTAGCATGTCAGAAGCCGTCTATCAAGGTCGGAGACCGATGAAGTCAGTATCTGCCCTGGGAGTAGATGTTCTATACTGACACAGAATATAATTAGAGGTCGCAGCATCGCCCTGCTAAGTGTCTTTGGCGTCATTGGTGGTACAGCTCTGATGTTCCGCTTCCTAGCTCCCCAGCCAGGCACGCTCAATACGAGCAAAGAGGTAGCGACGTACCGGGGTGCCGAGTCTGAACAAACAGATCAAGGCGATAAATTTAGACGCACTGCCCACCCGCCTCGAAAGGAATACCCATTGTCCAGGCCAAAATTTTAAGGGGAAATGTTGCCTGGAAGCATGAAGCATACTAGGAAATAGAGCATTGGATTGGCTGGAAATGTTGGAATATTGAAGATTTCATGTATGGATTGATGAATATTGAACGTCGAAGCCGTTATG